TTTCATGATATATGTAAAAGCGTATTATGCCATCTTAACTTCCATCGTTAATTAACAGTCAGTCATTGTGACTAACGGTAGGCCAAGTCTTAGGTCTGAAACCTCAAAGCAAACATCCTCACCTTTCAGGCCTATTACATTAAGGTCAAATTTTCTTGTATTTTTACAACGCTTGGAGCTGTAGACGGTCCAAACAATCCTGTTTTACGATTTTACACAAAAACTTAAAATTAATTACTATCCATTTTGAGGATCTAGGCAAAGAATGAAGAATGGTGTAATTAATTCTGTATAATAATCATCTAAAAGCACTTTTTAAAAATAAAATACAACAATAATATTCAATTAAAATATTGAAAAAATATGGAATTATAATATTATTAAAATACAACAGTCATTATTTTTAATGATATTTTCTTACATTGTGTTGATCGTACTTGTCATGGCAACTGCCATTCCATCTTCGTCGACAACTGACAGGTGGGATGTTCCATAATCCTCTGCATTTCCAAAGAAGTGTCCATAATGTGAAATATTATGCGTATATTCTGATATCTTTTGTTGGAACTCTTTAGCATATTTTTTTGACGTCATCTTTTTGACGAGCTGTATTTAAATTAATAGTAATTTGTTAGAATAATGTTCATAATATAAAGGCCCCTTTATCGCTTCGTATGTCCCAAGACTCTATACCGTAATTATACGGAAAATAATTGATATATAAACTACATTTACATATTATATTCACAATGGCTTATATTTTACGTGCAGCATATCTGTAGCATGTGTATAGGCGTTTTAATTAAAAAAAGATTAACAATATTCAGAAAGCGTATATGTAATGCTTATGCTTACTGTTTCATTGTTAATCTTTTTTTAATTAAACGACCATACACATTAAATAACGATTTTATCACGTTTATTGTATAATACTTAGCTCCACGCAATGCACAGTTACGCTGATGGGGTCCTAGGAAGAGGACGAAATATTCGATAAAGTAAATTATTTTATGTTCCGAAGTACGTCAACCCTTTCTATTTGTTTGTAGAAAGTGGTTTGGCACAGCGGGAACGGTTTGGTTTTCCAACCTCGAGGTGCATTTCTTTGTGCCCTTGAGCAAGGCACTTTATCTGGATTGCTTCTCTCCACCCAGCAGTATAAGGGGTACCTTTGGTTGCAGGAAAAAAGACAGTATTGCCTAAGAAGGGATTATTTTTAAGTTAATTCAAACAATTTTTACTGGTTTTTTTTACCTCTTTAACGTCAACATAATCCTGATCACCTAAGCATGACCGTTTGGCGTACGCAAATTTGAATGCCTCTAAGATACGATGATACGTATTCACAGTATCCTTTTCATAACTATCTACATCAAAATGATATTCTAAAAAAGAAAAGAATGATTGTTTATGGCAATAATAATAATAATAATAATAATAATAATAATAACAATAATAATAACGATGATAATAATAATAATAATAATAATAATAATAATAATAATAATAATACCAATAATAATAACAAGAGCACTCAGTAGAGAGCATATCTCTTCCCATCGCAAATCCCTTTCTACAAAATAAATCTCCAAACACATGCTCCTAATTTACTTCAACCACCACCACTACCACCCCAACTCACAACTCACTTCGTTCCACTCCTCTACAAAACACACAGAGTAACTCGCCCAAACACTTTTTATTTCCACTTTTAGTCTGGATTTTTGGGGATTCTTTTATAGAGTGGGCATTTTCAGATTTTGTAATCCGAAATGATTTGCCCAAAATTCATTGTAGGCCTATTTTTCTCTGCACATGTTTTGTTTTGAACACAGAATCCAAGCAACATAGTATTCAAACACTAATAAATGTGACAACCCGCCTACTTTCCAATCACCACCTACTTAAATAATTCTGGTTAAACATACTGGAACGTTTTACTCTTTTAATTGACAAGAAAATACATAAGTATTGGTGTTAGAATCGTCGAAGAGAAAGAGTCAACGACGAAGAAAACCTAGAACCCCTGGATTGATCGGTGATCTTAACCACCAAGCTACAGCTCCGCTTCAAAATGATAAAATAGTAAATATTATTCATTACAATAAAGTAGTCCTATATCAATACTAACCTTCAAGGATGTTCAGTATTAAAGAAAGTACCACGCCACTTGCTGGCGGTGGGAGAGAAAACATTTGAAGTGTCTTCTCTCCAGCCGCTATGATGATAGATGTTGCGTTCCTTTCCTTACACGAGTAGTTTTTCAGATCCTTAGCTGTGATAATTCCGTCTGTTATAAACAAAGAAAATATAATTTTACTAAGAATTCATGCCGTGTCACTTCTCCCAAGATACTGATTTAATGTGAAAGTTCGATTTCAAGATCCTTTATTGACTGGTAATCAATTTGAAAATTGTCGTAGTATTTTGACTGTAAATCAGTGAAAACTAATTCTATTTAATCTGTGTTTCATTGGAGGTTATTCGATCATTTTTAATGTCAGGCTCCAGAGGAAATAAAATTTCATATGTTGTACAACTGATGATGATGATAATGATGATAGTGATAACAATAAAATGAACAAAATAGCACCTGAGACTAAAACTTTTAGTAAAAGAGATAGACTTCTCACAAACGCCAAAGAATAAAAATGAGATATAAATTCACCTCTATCTTGAATGTCTTTCAAAATATCTGTTGCTAGGTCTCCTTCGTAGAACTCCCTTTCTCCGCCTGTTGCGATCCTCCTGTAAGTTCGTGCTAACTTCAGCCTGGTCATTATATTCCCCTCCTTGAGGATTTCTTTGTCGGGACTTACGAAGACTTCACTGTGAAATTATATTAATAATATTTTGGAAATAATAATGACGTATGATGCAATGTGAGGTGTAGCCCCAAACGGGAATACTGCGATCATTATGATTAACTAATTTGATGTTATATGCAACGCATAATTTTGAGCCGTTTATTGCAAGCTTCGGTCCAGTAAAATCAAATCAAATCAGTGCAAATTTGAAAAGTTCGACACTGGTATAATTTAGCAAAATCGGACAATGCACTGCCATGTGCGGTTCAAATAAGTATGTATTCTGGTTTCAAAATCCCATCCTGAAACCTAGAATCCAGGAAATATCAGAATAGTGTCCGGCGGGAGTTCCTATAGTTTTGACATTGTAACTTTTTATATTTATTTCCTATTTATTCTAAATCTGAAGCTTAATGTATCTTAGAATACGAGAATAACTTTTATCTTATCGTAAATAGGCTGCGTAGCCATGAGAAGGAGGATGATTTTGTTGTTGTTATCTGAGAAAATTCAGAATTCTATTATAATAAACATCCTCTTTACGCGTCTGGTTGGCAGAACATACGGTGCAGTACAGTGGCGGATCCAGATGGAGATCTACCACCTCACAGAGGGGTTGAGGTAAGAAAATATATGATTAGTTTCCTACCTTAAGCTAGAATCATTTTTTATTATGTCCTTTTTGGCCAGTATAAATTTTGCGAGTTCTTTACTAACGACGAACCCACTAAGCGCCAATTTGATGCTTGGAGTAAATAGATCCTTCCACGGTATCCTACCGTGATTCTGATGAACAGCCCAGTAACCCTTCACTTCACCAGGAACAGCAATAGCTCGTCCACCTGAAGAGGATGACAAGTTCGTTACTATTATTATTATAATCATTATTATAATTGTTATTATTATACCCATTAATATCTCAATCGAGATCCAGCTGGCTGAAAATAACGCAGCGAAGAGGGCGTATCTCATAGATCTCTGGCAGTTTGGTCAGGTGCGATATTAGCGCTGAAAACCGTGACGTGAGACACGTTAAAAGAACTGACTTTGACTTTCGCCATGTATGCGATAGGTCCTGAGTTCGAGTTCTTGTGGAGGCTATATAGGCTATATAAACCATCAAAGAAAGGTAAATACAGTGTTCGAATAAAGGATATAATAATACATCGTGTAGCATAGCTCCTGTCTCTTATACACATCTTGCGCATAATCCACCTTAAATATACGTCCATGACATTAGGAAATCAGGACAACAACAAAGTTACATAGGCCTATCAAGTTCATTACCAAATATCGATCTGCGCCTTGTATCGTTGACAAACATATTCTCGTTGGCCAAGCCGGGTGCTTCTTCGCGGAAGTCATACGCAAATATCTGTTTTTCTTTAGTAGGATCTTTAATTATCATAAAACTGCCACCGCCAATTCCGGTACTATGAGCATTGTGTAGGCCTACACATAACATTGTTGCAACTGCCGCATCCACAGCATTCCCTCCATTTTTCAATATATCTCTTTGAATAGAATATAAAATCGAAAGGTCCACTGATAAAAGATAGTATAATACGTACTCCAAGTATCGAAATGCACGCCATCGTGTCGGATTCAATATTTCGACATTAATTATGTCATCATCAGGAATGAATATAAAATGTTATTAGAAAATGTTAATAGAATATAAAATGTTATTTTAATAAACATTTCAAAAATGCATTAAAAGAATAAAAGTAATTTGGAGATGGATGGTTACATTAACATTTATAATAAAATAAATATGTTTAAATGCGCATTGAAATAAAATAGACAAAAATTACAATTTACAAGTTACAATTATGGAAGCTAAAATTAAGCTAAAATTCAAACAACACATGGAAAGTCAATCATATTGTCTCACAATAAAAGTTAAAATTTCATTTCTATAAAATTATAGAGATTATCCCATTTAACCATCTTATTGATATAAAACCAGTGGCGTCGAAGGGGTGGGGATCAGGGGTCGCTGCCCCGGGGCCCGGGTCTACTGGGGGCCCGGACCTAGATGAACATTTTTCGGGTAAGAACAAAATCTCCATAGGGCCCGAGCCCAAGCCAGGAGAAAAACTTTTGTTCACATGGAATCATATTAATGTATGTGGGTTTGGACAAATAGGGTCTTAGGAGGAGACTTAATTTGGGGAGCGGCCGAGTGGGGGTCCCAAGTGAAGGGGGGGCCCATGTGAGGTGTCGCCCCGGGCCCCTTACTGGCTCTCGACGCCACTGTATAAAACGAATATAGGACACTGCGCATTGTGTGTGACTCACTTGCCTATCCTAGAACACTGTGCGTTATCTGAAGCAACTGCAGCATGCTTGTATACATATGACTCCCGTTTACGTGTTATTAAAATCAGAATGCTAGCAAGCAGACAGAGACACAGCAGAGTTATAGATGCAGCTTTTCCTGAGGACACTTTTGTCCTGAAAAGAAAAACAACACGTGATTAGGTCATTAAATTGTTACTCATTGATTGTGAGCGTATGCTTTTTTTTGTTTTTGTTTTTTTAATCTGAGTCCCTCTATTATTATCACGCCTTTTAGTATTCTAAATGTTAAATCACGTTTATAAAAATGCAATGATGCATTTTTAGTCACCGTTGAAAAGCATAACTTGAAAATAGCCCTAAATGGGTAATTTTGATTAGTTGTGCAGAAATCCCATCAGCACCACGCCCAACGCACGCGCCCCAAGCACCACAGACGCAAAACACAGGCTTTACAGTCGATAATAATTACAGTGCAATATTCCTTATGTTTAAATAGAGACAGAATGACGTATTCATTCTAAAAAGCACGAAAATTACCAGCTAATCGACAACGATGACCATTACTACATACACCTAAAGTACATAATAATTATCAGATTATTACTTTCATGATTTTTATTGATTGGGGTTGAGGGTCTTGTTTAAGCTTATTAAAAAATACACCAGTATGGTCCATATAAGATACTTATATACACACTTATATATACTTATATACACACTTATATATACACACTTATATATACTTATATACACACTTATATATATTTTTTTATTTCTTTTCTCAGTTGGCCTTTATCATTTTTGTGTAAAGCGCATAGGGGATTGTGCAATAATCCGCTATATAAATATATTATAATTTATGTAAGGCGCAAAGAGGCAGTTTATTGCAATGTACGCTATATAAATGGTTCATTATTGTTCAAAACGTGCCGGTAATTGAACTAGGTAATATAATGAATAATCTTTCATTCTAATAAGGATGGTTAAAATCTAACAGCTGCAATGGTAATAAAATAGAAACAAAATTAAAAAAAAGACAAAGGGTGAAAATGCACACGGATAATACAAATTAACTATGGTAGCAAATTATGAATATAATAGGGTAAACACTATTTTTTTTTTTATCAATGAAGATCAGAATAAATCATAGGGGCGCGGCCTATGTTTTCAAATATTCAAAACTGGACAGAATTACTGCGAAATTACTTTTGGAAACTAAAGAGGGGGTTTTCGAAATGGCCTTCTTCTCGAGACAATTCCATGGGGCTTCTATTCGAGTGTATGTCTATAGCACTGGTTGTATTAACTGTGGAGAAAACATATTTAAGCACAGATCCTATAATAGGATCTGTGATATACCGTAAGTAAAATAGCTTGGTCTGATATGCATGGGTATACTGTAGAAACTAGGTCAAGATTACTTTAATCATAGTCCATTGTCGGACAAGTTGCTATCATCCTACCGCAATATGAACTGAAATGAACCTTAACGTTAACACATTCCATTTCACAGAAAAATGTCACTACAACAGCATAGCGAATATCTGCGCAAGCACAGTATACCCAAAAATTAAGTGACTGAATGAATTTCTTATTAAAAATATATACACGGTTATCAAATTCAAAATCCAACCATAGGCCTACCTATTCTTTCGCTTGACTGTTAGCATCCTCCATAATTGCTGTGTCCGTTGTCGACTCAAACTGTGAAAGACAATTAATAAATGTGAGACCATGCCTTATCTTAAATGTTATTAATAATGTGTAATTTCTCCGATTTTGCAATGTATGCTCCCGGTTAAAAAAATACAATTTTGTAAGTTTATACCGTACATTGGGCCACCCCCCACTTTTTGGCGAAAAATATATAATGTCTGGAGATTTTTGTAGGATCGGAAATGCAAAAAAAGGAGGGAAGAAGGATGGGAAAGAGAATGTTTATCCAGTACCCGACAGAGTTACATTTTCTCGCAATTCATATTGGCGGATCTTTTTTTATTTTTTTATTTTTTTTTT